CTTGAAAAATTCAGGGCATCAGCGAGATGTGACAGATAACGGGCGCAAAAAAGAAGCGCGCATAGAAAAATTCAAAAACAGCGAAATGCAAAATTGCTGGCGATGCATATGTGGCGACGCTCATTATTAACGTTGCGCCTATCATGATTATTGTATGTTCACCGAATAACGAGGCTTTTCTGTATTTTCCATACATTGTCATTCCGTTCGAAACGCACAATGGGTACGCCCAACTAATCATGCGTTTGAAATAAATGAACGGTCGAGTAAAATGACGTGCATCCGCGAAGTATTGAAAATTAATCATACAGATGCGATTGTATGTCGGCATTATAACGATGGAGAAACAGAAAGAAAAGAAAAAACTAATGGCACATTGCTGATAGCGCGCATAAATGGCTGTTCTATTATCACAACGGGACGCTAATGCTTAAATCGATAACACGAAGATGTCAAGTCGAAAAATTTCCCTTATCGCATTTATGAGATATTCTCCCGTTGGCGTGCAACTCGCTCTGTAATTATCCTCGCTGCCATGTAATTGTGAAGGATGCTACACGGGAACGACTCAAATTGTGTGAAGAGCCAGACCGTAACTAACGTCTCGATCGATTCGAACATCTCGTTTGTTTCCTAAATTTCTACGCGGCGCCATATAGCCGGGAAAATCGTGCGGAAGTAATTACCAGACCACTAGTAATGCTGCAGCTTCGAAGATGGAGAAGAGGCAGTAGACGAGGAAAGCTTGCGGCTCGACTAATAATGCCTCTTCTGCCTCGACTTCGCTTGGAGTCCCTTTTCGTTCCGCTGTTCGACACAGTGACTATCTGGCTGTGCATTAAACAAATATTACGTTTCCCTAACCGGGAAACTGGGTGTACTAAAAGCCCGCAGAAGTTTCGACTAAGTTGAAATCGTGTACGATCTAGATTTATGAGTAAGAGACTACTGTTGGTGCCATATAGATATTGGGTGGTAATAGATTTTAGATTACTTTTCATTGAACTTGAGATGGAGCGGATACAAATTTTAGTTTGCCTATTACATCTGATAACTGTATTACAAAAGAAAATTCTTTCAAATGTAAAAAGGAATGGAGTAATTTGTAAATACCTAAGGGAAAAGTTATATAAAACCGACGATTTATTTATTAATTATAAAAGAGTCTTTGTTCTAAGGATATTAAAGCTTTAAATTAAAATAATTAAAACTTGTACAATAATTTATATATTATCAATTTAAACTGTAATTTTAAACAAAAAATAAGATTCGACATTGCTTGACAGCGGGTAACTCCGAACAGCAAAAGTTTGGATTTTTATTTATAAAAGTATAATTTATATGAAATATATAAATGTTAATAGTAATTGAAAACGAAATAACTCAAATATCTCCTTTGTGTAAAAACTTTTATAATTAATAAATAATAGGCACATAAATATAATAAACAAACAAAATTTTTTTATCCAAAATATTAAATTTAATTTTTCAGTATTTCTAATCTACCAGCTTGCATATTAACTTTATAAGCTTGCATATTATCGTTGAACTTACTTTTTTTCTGTTACTTGCACATTAAAAATCAAATCATATATGGCTCTAAAATTACTGGAAAATTGAATTTTATTTTTTGTTGATAAAAAAATTGTGACATGATGCAACAATTTGGATATCGAATTCAGTTTCAGAATATCAAAATACATAAAAATACCATGGTCTAATCTCCGGATCAAACATTAAATTTTATTTTGTACTCTATATAATCGTCAGCTTGATTTAACTTTTTCTTTAAATGTATATTCGCAATTTCCCAACTTTTCTCTACATACAAAAAATCCAAAGAAAGTAAAAGAAATGCAAGGAGCTCAATCCTAAAATATAGTTATTGAACAGCGTTACATCGACATAAATGTACGTATAGAAAGTAAATTAATTTCGTGAATTTCTTAATTAAATTTTGACTCCAATAAAGTCAGAAAACTGATTGACATACAGAAGAATGGAATAAAGGAAAAACGTTAAAGTTTGGCATATTCTATTCAAAAGTGGCGTAAAATTTACGTAGCATCTTAAAATTAAAGAAACAAAATGCAATATAGAAAGAAAATTGCAATACAGAACTAAAATCGCAACCTTTGACACAAGAAAATCGAATATGAAATGATAAAACCAAGATTATCAAAGAACTATGAACACTATAGCGAGTTAGCACGAAGCTCGATAGTAAATAAATGTTTTACGAGAGAACTATGCAGAGAGAGAGTTGTGTGCATCGCAATTGGCCGCATGAGCATAACGTTGGTACATCGGGTATTTGTCTTTACTGCTGTTACGAATGTTTCATCGCGATATCTACGATAAGGAAACACTCATCAAATGTTGACAATAATCTCCAGGCCAGGGGTGGCCAATCTTTTTGTTTGACATACCGATATGGAGATTCAATATCTTTAATATGTACTGTACTAGAATTAAGCAAAAAAATATCGTGATTTTATTTATACTTTTTTCTCTTGCATCAAAAGCAAAACAATTGTTTTGTTGGCAAAATTTATTTCTTTTACCATGTTCTGTTTTACATTCGTTTTTGTTAAAATAAATAGTTTAATACAAAAACGAAAAAAACGCAGCCAGAGAGTCCACGTGTAAAAAATAAATTTTAGTTAAGTAAGTTTAATTGCTATTTTACTGTGTCATTTTTAATTCTAATACGCGTGCTTTAGATGTACCACTGAGAATGTCTTCGCGTTCCACGAGTTACGCGGTTTGGCCACCCCTGTTCTAGACTATTAGAGAATTCTGATGCTCTCGACTTAATTCTCGGTCTCGTATAGTTGCGCGAATGAAAATATTTTCGAAATCTCGAAAGTTACATTCTCGAAACTCGTTGCTTGTATTATTTGATCATTAATAACGATGTTCTATGAGATAATTGGCACAAATAAATTAATTCGTCAGTAATAAACCATGCGTAAAATATATGATATCGAGGTACCATGTTATTAACTCCGATAAATATTGTAATCAAATATTAAATTCGTAAATATATATATATATATATGTTAAGCTACTTATTGATATAAAATAAATATTTTATCAATAAATACTTTTTTGTATGATACAATTTTGTTCGAGGATCACACACAAATAACGAATTAATATACTTACTTAAAATATATTTTGCCGCTGCCACGGGCTTTTAATTAATTTTATCCTGTAATAACTTGAAATGAAGTTTGCTTAATCCATCACCTCGTAAGTACAATATCGGATGCATTAATATTAATGGTTGTCCCCGAGCGTTCGTGTCAATGAGAGTGACGTAGCAAGTCACTACAGAATACGCCTTATTGAGTAAATGTTACTAATTTAGCTCAGTCGTACGTATCGCCTGCTTCATTTCTGACTGATCGCGCGCAGCGTACATTTAATATGCGTATTGAATAGTCTATGCAGTGTGAGTGCTGTCATTGCCCTCAAGAGACGCGAACGGATATGAAAGTGACGTGAAAGCGGAAAATTCGATTAGTATTACAGAAACGAGTGAAATTATATTACATTTTCTGACGGTGATAATAGATCCTTAAAACACGGTCATATAGCGTTTCGCATTCGTCCGTTTATTTCCGGTAATTAAGAGATCTCCTACTTCCTCTTGAACCGAGATAATTGGCGCGACTGTAATTCACCCTGTTATTACGCAGAGTAAATTTTTGTGCGCGCGATATAAATATCGCCAAAAATTTAAATGCAAAAAAATCATATTTATTCATACACGCATTCATCCTCATTCGGATATATATCCACCGTACGCTTTATTACCGTTATACAAAAATAGTGCATAAAAATTCATAAAAATTATGTGAATACTTTTGCATGCAGAAAAAATAACGGTATGAAATTAATTCAATATTCATGGCAAAATATATCATGTTGCATAATATATTTTGTTAAAAAATTGCTGTAATATGATATTCCTATAGCGTTGATATTATCGAGCATTAAAGGTAATCGGTACTTATCCAAGATCCTCTATTCTGTTAAATTCATAATATCAAATTGTACTTAATTTGAATTATTTTTAATCATTCCTATATAGGTCGCTATTGTTCCTACTTAATATGTCATTAATTTAATTAAAACGACAGAATTAAAGAATTTAACTCAACTTTTTCAACATTTTTCTTTAGTTTATTATTTACTAAGTGCATACGTTAAGTAATTAACTAAGTGCACCACATTTCATGTCGCGTGGAACCGGTGACTAACGCTAAATTTTCAGTTTAGATCGTTTAATATTTTATTGTTATAAAAAGAAACATAATTATAAAATTCTTGATATCGTGCGAAATGCACATAATTATAATATGTAATATGCAATATTTTACATTAAGGCTTCTTCCGTACAATAATAATTTTTACAATTTTTTTGTAAAAACGAAATGTATATTATTTAACAAATATAACAAACGTAAACAAAAATATCGTGGATTATCGGTGATTCACACGACATTACGATCAAATCATTTAAAATTAGCATAGCATGTTAATATAAACATGTTAATACAATATAAATACTGTTTACTTTAAAATTAAATAATTCAACCACAGAAATTCGTCGATTAAATGTGGTTATTTTTGTAATTAATCACATGTTCTCACGAAGTTTCAATTAATAATACACTTTGGCACACTTGGAAGTTAAAAATAACAAAATGTTATTTAACTTAAAAAATTTAAATTTAATCCTTTAATATTTAGCAGTAACATAGCTAAAATAAGTTTAGAATACAGGAACAATCATTAGGCATAAATTAATTCAACGATTGCAATAGCAATCGGAACCGGTCGCGGTCCGACGGGCATTATGACAACAATTAAAACATTAGGCCTTGTCGTAAACGACATTCCGTGCTAAGCACGGAAGAAAGTACTGTAAGTTAGGTGCTCTCTATAAAAGTACATAGTCATTCAGTTTTGGCATCCAGTTGTTCGTTGGCTGCATCCACCGAGATAACGCCGACATGGTTACGTGGGTAAGTTCCTCGCAGTTCCCTCGGAACGTTTCTCTTTAGTCGGTGAAGTAGCTGAAGAGGCCAACTGAATGAAGTGCGCAAAGTTCGTAATCGTTTCTAAAGTACTGTGTACATAATACACAGCGTCGAATAAGGACTCATCAACGAGAATAATTCACATTGAAAGATAAAGATCTGCTTCCCCTCACGCACTCACCTTTTCCATTATTCTGATAAATACACACGTTTTAACTCAGGCTTTTAATATCATTATGGGTAATGGCCTACTACGTGATACAAAGCTCGAAATTTATCGTTGACACTCCAGATTTTAGACTGAATTATCCGACGCAAGTTTGCGGACAGTTGTGACGTATAATGTCACAGATAAAAGTTATTAGAACGTCCACCGTCGGCGCGACTAAATGAAACATTTGCGATTAATTGACATGCGCCTGGAAATTTTTACGTTTCGCGAAGCTCGATCGCGTCCCTTCCTATCGCATTAATTCAGTTAAAAACGTGGCTAAAGTTCGTAATAGAGAAAGACATTTCGTCTTTCCGTCCCGTACTGTCCCTCTCCGTGCAAAACACGTCTCGCCGTTTTCCCGGCGCCGGCCGCGTCGTCCAATCGGGCATCGTCAGCATCTCGGAATCTTTTGTATAAATTGCTTTGTCGCTGATTAAATCCCGAGTTATTAAGCGTCGGAACATTTGCATTTCAAGAAGAATATATCAGCGCTTCTCGCGGACGTCACTCGCCAGCTTGCAACTACTGCGGAACGAGGAAATTAGCGGCGGCGAAGACGGTGTCGCGATGCCATGGAATGAGATATTGCGGAAGGAACGATGGAGAGGGGAAACCGAGATTCCCATTTCTGAAGTTCCCTCAACGGGAATCTTTCTATTCCAATTGGATATAAGCGTTTAATTGTCCCCGAGTCGATCGAAAGCATTGAGTAATCGTTCTGAAAGCTCCTTCATATCATTCAACAGATCTCGATTGCAATTGACACATTTCGCGATATTATCCGTTCTACAGTTTACATTAGACTTGAGAGAATACGATTTACTGGGTATTTTTAAATTTATACAATATTTGCATTTGACTCGATTGAATTTAAAATTTGATGATCGCAGATTTATTTCTAATAATCCCGTATTTTTGAAATTTGAAATCAAGTAATTAATCTGATAAATTAATCTGAAAATAGAATTTGCAATAAACAAAATTCACTCACGTGGAAAAAAATACTATAATACAGATGATAAAATAGTATAACAGTTTCCGAGCGCAAAACAAATGAAGAAAATACACGTACACGGTAATTCAATTTTCCTATCGTACTCAGTTTTCATCTCAACAAATCAATAATAATAGATAAAATCGAAGTGGTTTAACTATAGCATGTAAGTAAGAAATCCCGTTTAGAAAATGGCTCAATTAAATAAAGCCGGAGAAGATAAAACGCAAAATTACATCATAGATTCAATCTAATTTCGTCAACTTCGATCGAATTCGATCCCGTACCACGAGTAAATCGCAAAAGCGGATTTCTGAGAATGTAATTTAATCCCGTCTTCGGCTGATTCCAAATTCCTACACGCGTCGGTCCTACCGGAAATTCGAATAAATCACCGGCGCGATTATATTCGAGCGTGATTAATTGATTTCTTGCGGCAAACATACCGCCAGCTGACCACGCTGATTTTCCTAACGGCTCGAGATGTGATTTCGGTTCTCGTTAGTCGAGCGATTTCTCTCCCTTTCTTCCTGCAGGGAATCCGCGGCAAGAAGGCCGAAGCGCGATAAAACGACTCCCCGACGATTTACTGGATATTATCTCCGGTTCTTCCGCTCGAGCGTGCACGCATGTGTGCGACAAAAATGAATGCTTGATATTGCACGATTTATATCTATTGGAAGATAAACGCCTATTTTTCAGATCGTTTCTTTGAGAGGACTATCTCTCTGTTTAGAATATGATTAGATAATAACCGATGAGCTCTGCTGAATCATAAAAAATATTAGGAAAATGTTTTGTTCTATAAATCAAAATTTTGTTGTAACAACAAAAATTTGATTAAAATATACCGAATAAAATTTTTGATTAAAATGTACTGAATTGTATAACTGTAATTTAATGCAAATTATTTAGTAGGTATAAATAAATATTTTTGTTATTTACAAAGCAGAGAAATTATTTTGCAAAAACAACTCATTTTTTTGTTGTATAAATTTTGTTTATATAAATTTGCTTTTGCAAAATTATTAAAAATGCCTCAACTAAATAGTTTTGCTAGAGGCACTAAATTTTTTTTCCTAGTGTAACTACAGTGTGATAATTTATATACATATATTAT